CAAGGTTCAATATATAGCCAAAGTTTAATACAAAATTACATATCTAATCATCAACTTTTGTACATATTACTACATTGTCATACTAGACAGTACATAACTTGTAGTAAAATAAACTAGCCCAACTTTACATCATTACATAGAGTTAGACGCAAACCAAAATATGCAACCAAATGACAACCAAAAACACTTTTGTTTAAAGACAAAAAAAGTGTCACATTACTCGACTACTTCAACAGGCATACAAGACTTTAGAATTGAAAATCGTAGAAAAAGATTAGGTAATAACATAAATAGTAGACGGAAAGTGCTAATGTGCATTCCAGTAATAGCTTCTATTGAAGAAGTTCATTATACAGAATTTCCGAATTTCCTTGTAAGATTGATGTTAATGGAATAAACTATTGGTTTGTTTTTTTCTAAAGGTGACCCAGTTTTGGTAAGTTCTAAACTCCAGTAATGCCTGTTTTCTGAAGGTGACACTTAAATGAACACGTGAATATTTTATTATATAACAAAACATTGGAGACCCGCTGGGGAGATTACACATGGATAACAATTTTAGTGTAAGTGGTTAATTTCTAATAGAATTGGTCATTTGACTTGAAATCATCATGGTGCCTTATATAAGAACATTCATACTTTGGTAATGTTGGATGTTCTTCTGCCAAGGATCGCTAATACGACATCATTCGGAGATGTCAAGAATCATATGAAGGTTATAAATGATCAATAGATGATTCCTCACTCTTAAGTAGTAAGAGATTATTATCTACATTTCATTCAATTAAGTTAATAATGAAATCATCAACCAATGTGTATTCATAAGTTGGAAAAAGAGTTTTCGATTTATATTGACTTAATAGTGGGATGAAAGATAAAATCGATAATTGAGATTGACACATATTCATAAGTTGAAAAAAGAGTTTTCGACTTACATTGACTTAAGAGTGTGATGAAAGATACAATCGACAATTGAGATTAACACATATTCATATTTCGTAATATATCGAATCATATTAACAAAAATATTATAAATTCATAATAAACAAACAAGTTTGGTTTTGTCATACCACATGATATTTTCCATTACATATATTGCCCTGGCACATTGCTAGATGTCAATTTGGGACGACAAATGTGAATTGGTGATAAATTAAAAAGGGTATTTTAATTTATCGATTTTGATATATCAAAACAATAATTCACGTCGTCAACATTCGTGATCGAGAACCTGATGAGTACACACAAAAAAAGAATTAGAAGAATAAGATTCACCAATTAAATAATTAACAAGAGTGTACAATTAATTAATTGGGTTACTTGTTAATATGCCCAAATTAATTAATTGGATTAATTAATTCATGGAAAAAATTTAATTAACTAGGTTAATTAAATATTGGATCGAGTTAAGTTTAAGAGACGGGGCAAGCCCACTTGAATTAATAAGTCATTATGGTTTGAGAAAAATAGAAGAGAACACAATTCATTATCTTGCTAGCACAAGAGAGATAAATCCTCATTTTCTCTCATTCTTGTTCTCTGTGTGGATTTTCATTGAAACCTGGACAATTGGACAGCTGTGGATTGCAGATCACGATTGTTCGTGCTCCAAGATCAGCAAAGGAGCTTGCAGAATTTACAAAAGGTATAATTTCTATCACAGTTTCTCTCTGAGCACAAAGCAGATTTTTGGTGGGAATTGAAAATTTTGTTTATATTCCGTTGTGCATGTTAAGTAAATTCACAACAGTGGTATCAGAGCCTACTTTGTGTTTGTTAAAAAAAATTTACATGTTTGAGGAATCAAAAGTTGGTTGTTGATTTCTTGTTTCTAGCAATTTAATTAAAAAAACAAAATTGATCAAATCAAAGGAAGGCCAACTGGGCGACGAATGCGCCACCGGCAAGGCGACAACACAAGCACCGCACGGGACTGCAATGTGCTGGAGCGTCGTACTTGTGGTGCTCCCCTATGGCGCACCACGTCGGCTAGATGCGTCGACGCGCTGGCCGATGCTACAAAAAGAAAAAAAATTATGGTTTTCGTTTTGGGTGAGGCGAAATAGAGGCGAAGGTCTCTTATGCAATTTGTGAAATTGTAGGCCCTGCCTACAATTATGATAAAAGGGATCAGTTTGCAATTTTAAAATGGAGGACCTATCGTGCAATTAAGTTAATTGAATGACCTGTTTATAATTTTAAAGCATGGGTCGAATTGAAATTTTCAAAATGATTTTAAATTTATATTTCAATTTTGAAATTATGTTTTAAAAAGTTTGACCCTAAAATTTCAGTTTTGACCCGTTTAAAATTTTATTTAAAATTGACAGCTTCCAATATTTTCGTTAAAATTTGATTTTAA